CGGCCAATTTAATTAATTATTTTAAATAGAAATCCTAATTATAAACTCTTGAAATAACGCATTTCAATTTTAAATTTGTTATAACTTATAACCATCAAAATATGTTACTCTATTATCTGATTTTGGGAGAACCCAAAAAAAAAACTATTGAAATAACAAGGAAAATGCACACCACCATAGAAGGGAAAAAAAAAGCCCCCACACAACTTTTTAAGAGCTAATAAAACATTTATTTCACTGTTTCCAAAAAATTTGCGTTGTGATAAGCATTTTTTCAAAGCTCAAGAAATTAGCACACATCAAACTTATATTTTAAGATATAACGTTGAGAATTTGTAGTTAATTTACCTTAGGCTTAAGATGAAAAGCAAGAGTCTGGCGATGATCAGCAGATACAACATCTTTTAATCTCAAGACCTTCCCAGATTTCTCTGTTGAAGAATCTAACAGTGGCTTCTTCTCAAACTCCTCTTCTTCTTCATTGGTTTCTAGAGTGTTTAGACAAAAACATGAACACTGATTTGTTGGAAGAAACAGACAATCCCATACTCTCCCAATCTTATGGAGCTTACCCATTAATTTGAAAAGTAATTAAGGGTTTTTTAGAGAGAAAGTGGTGTTGGGAAGGCTTAAAAAGAAATTGGGTGAGAGAGGAGAGAAAATACTTGCTTGTATTACACACTTACACTGTCTTAAAGAGATGGAGAGAGATAAAGATGATGTGTGAAGAAGTCAAACATTGAAATGATTTTGTAGAGACCGATAAATTTAGGGTATTTCTTTATTATCTTTAATATCATCAACTACAATGTTAAATCTATCATTAGATTTACGTTACTTTGTCATTTTTCTCCTCTTTAATTTAGTTTAGGCCATTATGGTGAAGTACTGGTATTATATATCTTGAATGGTATGGCGAGTGTAACCACTATAAGTAGTTTTTATTATTATCAATATTAAGTACAATTTCTTTTATGTTGCTTTCGAACTATCTATATTTGGTTTTTAATTGAATATTGATGTATCTATGACACAATGTCATCCAATGGAAGTCAGTGAAATAACTATTTACAAGCATACAATTATATGCTATATAATATGATATGACAAGTGATAAAAGAAAGAAGAAGACATAGGTCACATCTCACGTTCAACAACTCTCCAACATTGACACCAATTTTCTTATGTCATTCGGAAACAAAGAAAATTTATTATTCATATAATTGTAAGAGATAATTAGTAAGTGAGGCATGTGATGCAAGCTAAGTTAGTGTGACTTATATAGTTTTCTATAATTGATTGAAAGAGTGGATAAGCATCTTCTCTTTTGGCTTCACCTCGCCGCTCCACTTCTCCAATTTTTTTTATAATCTATTTTGATTCTCCATCTCTTTGTTTTTATATATGATTCGGCTTAAATTACTAAACTTTGCTTCTTGTTAAATCTCATTTCTCTACTTTTAATCTCTCATAACATAGATAAGATGAACCTGATAATAAAAACTTCCGACCAGAAAAGCTAGAGGGGGATGATTATAAAACCAATAAAATATGAGTGTTGAAAGAACATGTGGGAAGAACCGAAGAAGGTATTATATGCTAAGTGCTTTAGGTTAATCACGTGAAAAGACAATGCATAATTTGCCTTCTGCATGCCCCAAAACATGCTCTTTTATTTTCATGCTTAATTGTCGAACTTCCATTAATCATATTCCTACTTCACGTGCATTTCACGTATGCATTTATTTGCTCCTATAGTTCTGAATCATCATTAGCTGGTTACTTATATTTCATAAACAAATGGTGAAAGAAGTTTTTTTTTTTTTAAATCACAATTTTAAATCTACAAACTCTTTTGGTGTTTTCCAAGTGGAGATTTGAACTTGGACGATTTTTTTTTTTATTTTTCAAAAATATCATTGCTAACCATATTGACGCTAAGTAATTATTTTAACGATATATTTGGTTTTTGAATTTATTAACTGAAGACATGAATACCCCTTTTATTGTGTCAGTCTCTGTCAATTTGTGTCAAAGAACAGTATAACATACCATGCGAAATTGACAATATTTTTTTTTCGTTTGCTATTTGTTTTGTCAATACTTTTTTAAAAATTAAATTATTTTACCATCTATATATACAAAAAACAAGATTTTTTTTTCACATATGTTATAATTTAAAATTTTAGAAATTGGCATATATAACACAAACTATTCATATAATGTTATAATAAAACGTAACATCACAAATATGACATACCATATATATATATATTGATGATCCCATTTTATTATGTTTGTGATTAC